AAGTCTCTTTTGATTTCTCTTTCCTGTTTCTCTTGAGTCTTGTATCTGAAAGTCAAATGTTCTATTCAGCTCTGGTCTTTTCATCAGGAATGCTTGAAAGTCCTTTATTTCACTGAATGTCCATTTTTTCCCCCTGAAAGATTATGCTCAGTTTGTCTGGGTAGGTGATTCTTGATTGTAATCCTATCTCCTTTGCCCTCCGGAATATTATTTTCCAAGTCCTGCAATCCCTTAATGTAGAAGCTGCTAAATCTTGTGTTATCCTGATTGTGTTTCCACAATACTTGAATTGTTTCTTTCTGGCTGCTTGCAATATTTTCTCCTTGACTTGGGAACTCCTAGGAGTTTTCCTTCATGGATCTCTTTCAGGAGGTGACTGGTGGGTTCTTTCCATTTCTATTTTGCCCTCTGGTTCTAAAATATCAGGGCAGTTTTCCTTGATAATTTCTTGAAAGATGATGTCTAGGCTCTTTTTTGATCACGGCTTTCAGATAGTCCAGTAATTTTAAAATTATCTCTCCTGGATCTATTTTCCAGGTCAGTTGTTTTTCCAATGAGATATTTCACATTGTTTTCTATTTTTTCATTCTTTTGAATTTGTTTTACAGTGTCTTGATTTCTGATAAAGTCACTAGCTTCCAATTGCTCCATTCTAATTTTTAAGGAAGTATTTTCTTCAGTAAGCTTTTGGACTTCCTTTTCCATTTGGCCAGTTTTTCTTTTTAAGGCTTTCTTCTCCTCATTGGCTTTTTGGACCTCTTTTGCCATTTGGGTTAGGCTGTTTTTTAAGGTATTATTTTCTTCAGTATTTTTTGGGGGGTTTCCTTTAGCAAGCTGTTGACTTGCTTTCCATGATTTTCTTGCATCACTCTCATTTCTCTTCCCAGTTTTTCCTCTACTTCTCTTACTTGCTTCTCAAAATCCCTTTTGAGCTCTTCCAAGGCCTGGGACTGATTCATATTTTTCTTGGAGGCTTTGGATGTAGGAGCTTTGACTTTGTTATCTTCTTCTGGTTGTATGTTTTGATCTTCTTTGTCACCAAAGTAAGATTCTATAGTCTGACTCTTTTTGTGCTGCTTGCTCATGATCCCAGACAATTACTTGAGTTAGTTATAGACTCTTTGTTAAGGTAGGAGTCTGCTTCCAGTGTGGAGAACGCACTATTCCAAGCTTTGGGGTTTTTGTGCAGCTGTTTCCAGAGATACTTCTAGGGACCTGTAAATTGTCAGTTCTTCAGAGGGGCTATGATCAAGGGCGAGGTGTTTACTCCTTTCCTGGCCTGTGCTCTGGTCTATGAGTGACCACAAACACTCTTTTCTGTCTTGGAACTGTGAGGAGGGTTTCCTCTTCACAGCCACTACAAGCTCCACCATGCCAATGCTCCTCCTCACCCCAGGACTGCCACCCAGAACTGTGACCCGGATCCAAGTATGGCAAAGCAAGAGAATCCTGCACCAGCAAAGAGATCCCTGCAATCCCTCTGTGATAAGCCACTTGATTCCCCCTCAGTCTGTGGGCTGGAAGCTCCAGAGGCAGCTGCCACCCCAGGGCCGCATGGGGACTGGGGCTGGGACCCTGCACTTCTCTCTCACAGCAGTCACAGACTTTTCCTACTGACCTTCTAGTTGTCTTTGGCATCCATGGGTTGAGAAGTCTCGAAACCACCACAACTGCCTGTGATTCAGTCCTCTGAGGCCCACTCTAGGATCACTGCGGCCTGCGTACCCACGTCAAACTGCTCTCCTTTCCCAGTCGGTGTGATATCCTTTTCTGATCAACCATCCAGATTGTCTTGGGCTGGAAATGTGTTTCACTCTGTCTTTTTGTGGGTTCTGCTGCTTTAGAATTTGTTTAGAGCCATTTTTTACAGGTATTTGGAGGTGTTTGGGGGAGAGCCCAAGCAAGTTACTGCTAAATTTACTCCGCCATCTTGGCTCCACCCCAGACCCTGGGCAAGTCACTTAACCCTGTTTAGCTCAGTTTCCTCATCTGTAAAATGAGCTGGAGAAGGAAATGGCAAATGACTCCAGTACCTTTGCCAAGAAAACCCCAAACAGGGCTACAAAGAGTCAGACACAACTGAAAAATGACTGAACAACAACAATAAATTGTGTATAATGGAGGCAATGTGAGAGCCACAGTGAATCAAGGGCCACTCTTTGAGTCAGGGAGACCTGGGCTGAAATCTTGCTTCTGATCTCTATTTACTGTATGAATCTAGGCAAGTCATTTAACCTTGAAATGCTGTTGTTCAGTAGTTTCAGTTTCCTCCCAATTCTTTGCAATGCCCCGAGGCAATTCTCTAATCAGTCACTCAGTCAACTAGCATTTATTAAGCACTTTCTAAGGGCCTACCCCTAGAGATACAAAGAAAGGCAAAAGACAACCCTGCTCTCAAGGAACTCAGTTTAATGGGAGAAACAACGCACAAGCAACCATGTACAAACAAGACATAAATTGACAACTTTCTGATTTGCAATTTTTAAATTATGGCCACATATGGAATAAGTATCCTGTCGGGATTGGAATCCATGACTCCCAACTGTGTGTTCAACTTCTCACTACGCAGGGCTGATCTGCTTTACAGAGTGAAGTGGAAGAGGAAAGATGGATGGATTTAGACTCCAGGTGATGAGGTCTAGAGGTGAGGGGTGCTGGAATCCCAAAATCACAAAACTCGGGTCCTCCCCCAAAGAATTCCACCCATGCCTTCTTTCAGCCAAAAACAAGGTTTATTAAAGATCTGCCATATTAGCCAGAGTCTTAAAGAATCTGAGCATCTTGGCTAGATTGTAAAAATCTGAGCAGTGACTAGATTATAAGAATCAGAGCATCTTAATGGAGACAAGATGGACCTTATATACACAGAAAGACTAAGGGAGGGATCTAGGAGTGGCCAAGTAGTCTATGAGGTAATAGGGGTGGCCAAGGGAGAATGGAGCCTAGATAGGATGAAGAGTGGGAAGTGGCTGGGGGACATAGGGTGGTCTAGGCTAGATTAAGGGTAACAGATTGGGCATAGCCACAAAGAAAGGCCAGTTGATGGGATTATAGCCTCAGGGGAATGCCAGAGATTTGGCCAGGTGGGAAAGTTCTGGGTTTTTCCTTTTTGGCGTCTATACCTACAGCCCTCAGGGTAGAGAGCAGAGGTATTACTATCCTCAATCCTGATAAGGTGGCCAGAAGTTAAATGAGGCTGTAAGGTGGCCCAGTGGATAGTGTTGGACCTGAAGTCAGGAACAGCAGAGTTGAAATTTGACCTCAAACACTTAACTAGCTGTGTGACTCTGGGCAAGTCTTCAAACCCTTCTCACCCTCAGTTTCTTCATCAGCAAAATGGGAACAATGATGCCATCTATCTCACAAGGTCTTTGTGAGTATAAAATGAATAAAGCTAGCTATATAAATGCAAGTTAATTTTATTATGGTCACACATGGAGTTAAGTAGACTGTCAGGATTGGGATCCACGTCTCCCAACTGTGTGTTCAGTATACTTCTCACTATACAGGGCTGATCTGCCTTACAGAGCGAGGTAGAGGAGGAAAGATCGACGGATTTAGACTCCCCTGGTACCTGCATTCAGTTACTTGTTCTGGTGCTAATTACTGACCTTAGACATCTCACTTCACCTTTCTGAGCCTGCCTCAGTTTCTCCATCTGTAACATAAAGGAGTTGGATCTCTAAAGTCCCTTCCAGCTCTAAATTCTATGTCGAGAAAGCGTTAAACACTATTCCTATGGTTATTTTTTTCAGGGGTGGGGGAGAGTGTGGGTTATTTTTTGGAAGGGGAAGGAGATTCAGTTTCAGGGATGGGGAGATTAGCAATGGTATGGCTGGGCTAGAGGTATGAAGTCGCACAGGCTTCGTTTCTGGATGCCTGGACCTAACTAGAGGCAGGTACCTATTGTCCCATCTGCCTCTTATGCTTGACAATTCGCCTATTTGCAAATACAGCTAGGGGTTGGCTGGTTCACAAGCTCAAGAAAACTCAGGCGTGTGTGTGTGTGTGTGTGTGTGTGTGTGTGTGTGTGTGTGTGTGCGCGCGCGCGCGTGGAGGAGGAGTGGGAGATGAGGGTGGGAGGTGTGGGCCGCATGGGTAAGGTACGAGCCGGTGACTTTTTATTTATTATTCACCTCCAGCCCTACCAGCTCACCCTGCGTTTATTATTTGCACTGGTTAGAATCGTTGCCTCTAACGAAGGGTGCGTTGACCCTTTCGAAGGCTCAGAAGCCGGTGGCCGAAGACCTGCTCTGTGTATCTGGGCATGCTCTGCAGCCCGGGCAGATTTAGGGGTTTGCGACCCCCTGCGCCCTGAAGCCCCCTATACCGCCTGCCGTAGTCTCTCTGGCATTGGGCAAAGGAGCCTGGGAGGGGCGGGTGATGATGGGGTAACAGCTAGACCCTGCCGTGGCCCGACTGAGCCCTCCTCCAGCCTACTTGATTCAAGCCAACTGCGCGCCCCTTTTCTTTCCAAAGCGCCCGCATACCCTCAGCCACACAGGCGACGGCTAGGTGCAGGGCGCGTCCTTGCCAACGCAGCCTCCTTTCTTCCATGGCTGAGTGTTAGCGCAGCGCTGCCTAGGAGCGCCGGGCGCGAGGCAGGCTGAGTACAGGAGCACCGCCCCCCCGCTTTTGCTTCCCACCCCGCTACTAGCCTCCTCCCACCTGCCCGTCTCCCCCCTCCTCAGGCCTCTCGTGGCCCCCGCGTACCGCTGCGGGCACTGAGGCGCTACGTCCCGAGGGAGCGCTCGCTGCCTTGGCTGCACCAGTAGCAGATCGGGGGCAGAGCCGGCTGCGCCGACCCCCCCCCCC